TATTCAATGCACCGTTTTGTATATTTTCAAGCAGTTCCTCCTCAGTCCTACACGGACATCTTCTGATAAACTGTTTCCATTTAGAAAACATATTTTCAATAGGGTTTAAAAAGGGGAAATATGGAGGTAAAAATATCAAAGAATGCCCAGCACGTACTGTTTCATTATGAACAACAGCAGTTTTATGAAAACGAACATTGCCTAAAATTAAGATAGCTCCAACTACTTCATTAACAGCTAATTGCGCTAATACTAAACGAATAAAATCTAAAAAAGCTTTCTGTATGAAATGCTCTTGTTTGTGCTTCATATTTCAAAATTCCGTTTTTGTTCATTGCACAACAGACGGAAATTTGACCGTATATTGGTCACTGTTTGTGTGACCCTCTTTCCAGCTAAAGAACGTCCTCTTCTCGCATTGAAAAACTAAATCCTACTTCATCAACAAAGAATATTTTATTCTCATTCATAGAAGACAAAATGTTCTTGAATCTTTCTGCATAAGAAACTCTTCATTAATAACGCCTTCCAAATTTCTTCTCTCTGGAATATTGTGAACTATCAATGCATCTTGCTATAGTAAATTGACTGACTGAAATGGATTTTTGTTCAAAAAGTCTTTGTTTAATTTTCTTAAGAGTTATTTCACAATCATCATTAATCCAATTTTTGATTAGTACCTTGGATTCTTCTGTTAATTTTTTGTTTCTAGAACCACCTTTTAATTGCCGTTCAATCGGCAAACCATTTTTATATTTTTTAATAATCGACTAGATTGTAGTTCGATTAAATGCAAGGATATTTACAACTTCTGAAGGTGAGTTTCCATTTAAGTAAGATTCAATTATCCTTGAACGGTTTTCATTGATGATTGTTTGATTCGGCATTGCTGTTTATAAATACTGAAAATGATATTTAAGCTTTATTATGAACTCTTGTTTTATTGAAGAGACAAATGCTTTTATTTACTTAATAAAAAATTATAACATTAATTTATAGTTTGATGACAATTTAATTATGTATTGTTGGGATATTTTCCAAAGCGTAGATTTTTTTTTTTTTTTCGCAATTAGACATATTTATATATATATATTTTACGTTTATCAAAAAAAATATTAAAACCATACTCATGATGTAAGTACGCACTTTAAATAATGCAGAATTAAAAAATGGCCACATTAATTATTTTATTGTCCCGATTAAATTCAACCCATTATTATTTAAAAAAAATTTTCATCGTAAATATAAATACTTTTATTCAAAATAGAGTGTTTTTAAATTGTCGAAATGTGATGCAACAGTGTCAAAATTGAATGCAAAAGTGTCGAAATGTAGTGATACAAAGTCGAAATTGAATGCAAAAGTGTCGAAATGTAGAAATACAATGTCGAAATGAGGTGAGAAACCCTGTACATATATATACATTTTAGCAATTTTTCAGGTGCAGTTTTTAGGATTGACTAGTTTCACTTAAAATTTTTTTTTTCTTTTTAACGCCATATATTTTTTGACAGCATTGTCTCTGGAATATTTTTTATATTTAAAAGATTGTTTGTGATTGGCGTAACGTTTTTTCTATTAAATTTTGTTGTACGGAGGTACGGAACCAAAATTATATTTCTATTTCCCTCTTTTGCAATTTTTTCAATTATATACCTTGAAATATAATTGAAAAAATATATATATATACTACAAAGGTATATAATTGAAACAAGTGTTTCAATTATATACCTTTGTAATATATATATATATATATATATATATATATATATATATATATATATATATATATATATATATATATATATATATATATATATATATATATATATATATATATATATATATATATATATATATGTATATGTATATATATATATATATATATATATATATATATATATATATATATATATATATATATATATATATATATATATATATATATATATATATATATATGTATATATAAGGTATATATACATATATATATATTCAAACTTCTTTTTAAAAAACACTTAAAAAACAAGTAAGAAACAAAGTTTGGTTTTGAAAAACAAATTTTATATAGTGAGACCTAGTTTTATTAATCTAGATATCCGAATGTTTCCAGATAATTTTGACTATTCAAAAATGCAGATAATTTTTATGGAATATCTGACAATGCGGATACTTTTTGATAAAAGAAATTTTTTTTTTTCTTTTTACGCAAACGGCGTGAAACTGTAGACATAAACGATAAACAAGTCATTAAATGACAATCATAAAATGGAATACTTTGCATTATAGTTACTTAAAATAATAAACTTACAAATAATTTCATTACAGCTAAAGTCAAAATTTATTTTTATTTTGTTAAATGTTAATATATATCACTTTCTACTCTTTGAAACAATCTTTTGTTGTTACACTTTGTAAGCTTTAAGCAGTGGCGGATTAAGACTGCTTGGGGCCCGGGGCTTTTTTTGTTTTTGGAGGCCTTTTTATAGACCAGAGCCTAAAAATGACTAATAAAAAAAATTTTTGGGGGCCCCTAAATTTGCGGGGCCCGGGGCTATAGTCCCCCTAGCCCCCCCCTTGATCCGGCACTGGCTTTAAGTTACAAAGTGTAAGCTTTAAGTTACAAAGTGTAACCTTTTTTGTCGATAATTTT